GACAGAGCGAATGGAGCAACATTCATTCTGGCACCGCTACTGCGCTCTGGTTTCTGTTCACAATTATCACCAAAAAGGCTTGTACGAATGAATTCCTGTGTCCGTACCTAGGAGTCTCCAAGGATGGAGGAGTCGCCTGATGTCGTCGTCGCTCCGGCCAGGAGACCTAGCGACCATGGAATGCGTAACCGGCTTAGTAGCACAACCGATAGACAGGTATTCAGCCATCAGCAATGCCTTTTCGCCTTTTTTGGATTCGTGAACATTCCTTCCTTACGTTAGTTTTTTTCAGGAACAAGGAACATTCTCAGGAGCCTCCGTATCTGAACATCCTCCACCTGTGTAAGCGTTCTAGCTCCAATATCCATTACGTCACAGTTTTTGCTCTTAGTTATCTGACACGTGTGTGCTCATTGACAGGCAACACGCCGACAATGACTTGAAACGGAGTCAGTCAGTGGCTGTTGGAGCATACCATGTTCAGGAGCCAGATGCTTCTCCTGCTGGTATTCGGAAGTATGGAAGTGGATCTTTCTTGGGTGGCCTTACCGGTAAGTCTCGTGCAGTCTTAACAAAGTCAACTTATCGTCAAAGCTTGACGTCAGTATGCGAACCATCAGGAACGCTCCCGGAAAGTTCCATCAGGACATCCTTAAGCCGATCAAGGGGAGGGTCATTGGCGATAAGCCGCGATGCGGTGAGTATTCTGATTAGTAATAGCTGTATGTTTCGTCAATGCTTACTCTAAAATTATTGCAGGAAAAGGAGGCAAGAGCGGCATCAGTGTTTCCTGAAGAGAAACTCGGGTTGGCACGTATCAAAGTGGTAAGTTACTGTACAAAGTCTACGCGTTTTGTGTGATCACAGTCGCTAATGACACTTCATGCAGGAAAGGAGCAACAGTGCAGTGGGTACCCACACCCAGGGATTGCTTTGCTCCTTAGCTCATGGAGACAAGAATTTAAATGGCATTCGAAGTGTTACACGTTTGATGGTAAGCTAAGCTGTCCGTTTTTATCTCAGGAGCTTTGCACTAAACAAGTATTTCAGAACGCAGGCCCGCAGATAAAGCAAGCTGTCTGCAATATGTGTGGTGATGCCGTGTCAGCGGATGAAGAGTACACACCATGCGAGTGTTCCTTCAGGATGTGCACCATCTGTTTGGATCATGTGCACAAGTATGAAAGAAACCGCTGTCCAGGCTGTGGAGGAGATCTTCGAAGCCGAGAGCAATGTATGCAGCATCTATATCATGTTGTGTTTTACACGTGAAGCATTTTGAGACATTTTAAACACCGTGCCACTTTTTTTCAGGGGCGATAATGCAAGCCATGCTTAATGAAACACCTCGGGCTGATGGCACTTCCTCTCCGTCGAGGCTTGCAAGAACAGAGTCAAAGCAGCTGCAAAGCATTAATGAGATTGAACAATCGGGACCTCAGGTATGCATGTGCAATTTTTTTGCGGTTTTCTCATTTGAAAGAAATATAGCTGAAACCACCTCTTTCTTACGTCTGCAGGTTCAGGGAGAAAAAAACCTGGTTCCTCTTCATCAAGATAACAGCATCGTTCAGACCAGTCAGCCTCAATATGGATATGGCAGTGTTGCTTGGGAGCAGCCACCCATAAAGGCACCTGATCGAGCTGTTCCGATGTACGTGGCTTGTGCTAGCGCTTGATGCTAAAATTACAGGACATATGATTAATCGTGTTATACCCTCTCCAGAGCTGATTGGAAGAAGAAGAGCTTGGCAAGAAAGTTGAGCTATCCTGGTAGCATAATCGGCCCTTACAGGTGTGTACATACTGCAAACGATATTTATTTTTTCTTCCGTTTCCCTCTTTTTCTTCGTCATCTTGACAGATGAAAGTGTATTACTATGCAGGATTGTTCTTTTCATTCGTCTTTGTTCAATCCTTGGATTTCTTCAGTATCGGGTTGCCAACCCCACAGAGACAGGATATTGGCTCTGGCTGATGTCTGTCATTTGTGAGATATGGTGCGAACGGTTTCATTAGCTGCAACACTTCGTGGTTTGTGAGAAGAGGTTTTAAGCTAATCTGTTTCTTCAAGCTTGCAGGTTTGCTGTTTCGTGGGTGCTCGACACACTTCCTAAGTTGACTCCTGTCAAGAGAGAGACGTACAAAGACAGACTGAAAGCTGTGTGAGTGTAAATTATCTGTTAAGTAAGCTTGTCATTGGCTGAAGAAATGGTTCTAACTTGCTTATTTGTAGGTATGATGACGGAGGCGAAACGCTCCCGCACTTGGACGTTTTTATCACGACTGCTGATGCCACCAAGGAGCCACCTCTGGTCACAGCAAACACAATTCTTTCTGTTCTGGCGACAAACTACCCACCTGACAGGCAGGTTTCCATTGCACATAACTGTTTTTTATAAGTTCAATCGGTCACATTTCTTTTCTTTCTTCATGAGCAGAATTGCCTGTTACTTGTCCGATGATGGGGCATCTAAGCTGATGTTTGATGCCATGGCCGAGACTGCTGGATTTGCACGACTTTGGGTTCCTTTTTGCAAGAAGCATAGCATTGAGCCAAGGTCCCCAGATGCGTACTTCAGCCAGAACGTGGACTTTCTGAAGAACAAAGTGCATCCTGATTTTGTCAAGACTCGGCGCAAAGTGAAGGTATGATACGCTCATTCAGGAACCATGATGGTAGCTTCCAATCTTCATCATGTTATAATTCCATCGCAGAGAGAATATGAGGAGTTCAAAGTTCGCATGAATGCATTGGTTGCTGAGAGCCGTTATCCCCCGGAGGAAGGCTGGATGCTGGAGGATGGAACACCCTGGCCAGGCAACAATAGGCGTGATCACGATGGGATTATCCAGGTACGGGAACATTTTCTTTTTCCTATCCACCCTCCTACCATCCCGACCGCTTTCTTCTTAAGCCACAATTGACATGCCATTATCATCCATTTCATACCAGGTATTTCTACACCCTGATGGAGACGTTCGTGACTTTGAGGGAGGAGTTCTTCCACCTCTCATCTATGTCTCACGGGAGAAGAGGCCTGGACATGATCACAACAAGAAAGCAGGAGCGATGAATGCTCTCTTGAGAGCCAGCGGATTAATCACTAACGGTGCTGTGCTGATGAACTTGGACTGCGATCACTACATCAACAATTCTGATGCTATTCGCGATGTATGTCGTGATGTCTGCTGAACTGCTATCTTTTCGACCAAGGAAACTGATATGTTTGATGTCCTGCAGGCGCTTTGCTTCTTCTTGGATCCCATGCAAGGTTACACTACAGGCTTCGTGCAGTTCCCCCAGCGTTTTGATGGAATTGACAGGAATGATCGTTATGCAAACCATAACACAGTGTTCTTCGACATCAACATGAAAGGCCTCGATGGGCAGCAAGGGCCTGTGTACGTTGGAACAGGATGTTTTTTTCGTCGCCGTGTAAGTGACTCTGTAATCAGTGATCTGCTTCCTTTGGAGTGCATCAAATTGTACGTCACAGAAACAATAACCTCCCTATATTCTTTCAGGCTCTCTACGGTTATTTTCCCTCTCCAAATCCAAGTAAGGTTGGCATGTCAAAGAAAGCCAAGAACGGTCTGTGGAGCTACCTGTGCTGCTGCTGCCTTCCCCGAAAGACACCGGAAGAGTCATTGGATGGACATGAATCAAATGATCAGGGTATGCCACATTTTGTCATTGGCAAGTGGTTTTTCTTGCGCATTCTGTTCACTGATGACATTCTCTTTACTGTACTCATAACAGATTCCACTCAACTGGTGAAGAAACCCAAGCTTCCAGCAAGGCTGGGTGCTTGTGCCCATTTCGTCAACACCGCAACTGGCGATGAGAACCTGTCGGGAGATGTTGAGGAGCAGCCTTTAAGCCCAAGATCTATGCTTAGTGATGTAGTCCTTACCATCAGCTGTGACTATGAAGCCAACACGGATTGGGGCAAGACTGTGGGCTGGATGTATGGCTCAGTCACTGAGGACATTCTTACAGGGATGAAAATTCATACACGAGGATGGCGTTCTGCTTATTGTGATCCAGACCGTGCTGCATTCAAGGGGTCTGCTCCACTCAACATGACAGATCGTCTGCACCAAGTTGAGCGATGGGCAACAGGAGCTGTAGAGATCTTCTTCAGTGGAAGAAATCCATTATGGTCTCAGTGGGGCACTAAACTGAAACTCCGTCAAAGGATAGCGTGAGTGGTTGGCTTGCTTGACAACATGATGGTCTGACTTTTTTGGCTGACGATATTTTTCTTTTGAATGGTGCAGGTATGCAAACAACGCATTCTATCCATTTACTAGTGTGGCAATCTTCTCGTACTGTCTTCTGCCACCTCTTGCCCTGCTTACCGACTTTTTCTTTGTCCCAACGGTGAGGACTTGGTGTCACAAAATCTTGGGTTCCTCTGACCGCTGCTGACTGGGCGCCACTGCTGACAATGCTTGTCTTGTGCTCCTGATTGGTTTGGAGTTTTAACTTTCTCTGCTGTTGACCTGGTTGTTCTTCTTCTCTTGCAGCTGGATCGCTATGCAGTCATCTGGTTTGCTGTACTCATCCTGTCGTTTCTGGCATCCTCTGTGCTGGAGCTGAAGTGGAGCAAAGTTTCTTTTGAAGCATGGTGGAGGAACGAACAGTTTTGGTTGATTGCTGGGATAAGCTCTCATTTTGCAGCCGTTGTGCAGGCAAGAGAAGAACTTAAACAACTAACTTTCTTTGATCTTTTGCCAGTAGCAGCTGGCTTGCCCATCTGCTAGTGGTTCTCCACGCCGATCGCCTAACTCTTTGTCTCTATTTCTCCACAGGGTTTGTTGAAAGTTATTGCTGGGTTGGAGATCAGCTTTACATTGACGTCAAAAGGTGGAGATGAAGGAGAAGTGGATGAGCTACATACTTTCAAGTTTTCCTGGCTGCTCCTTCCTGGGTGCTTCATTGGCCTTTTCAACATTCTGGGCATTATTGTGGGGGTTGGACGAGCGATGAGCTCAGATGGGTCACAGGAATGGGGTAAGTGCTAATCTGCTCCATCTCTTTGCCGTTTGTGCTTTGACATTTCTTGCCAAAATCTTGCACTCCTTCCTCCCCTCGTGTGCCCTGCTCTCACTCATTCCCTACGTCACTCTCTCCCACTCCCTCACTCACTTGTCAATCGTCATGGTCCACTGACACGCCAACCTCTATGATGTGCCTGTGTGCATGGATATGCTTTGCAGGGAAGCTTGCTGGCAAGCTAGTGTTCAGCTTCTGGGTCCTTGTCCATCTTTACCCATTCGCCAAGGGTCTGCTTGGGAAGAGGGATCGTGTTCCCACAATTGTCATTGTTTGGTCAGTGCTTCTCGTCGTCACTGTGGCTCTACTGTGGTCTAACTTTATTGGGGGAAGCTTCTGAGAGCAAGTGGAGTCCAATGCTCATTGGTGACATCCAGGAAATCATGGACATTATAGATAGTCCCAGGAAGTAGGATCTTAAAAGTGATACAGGTAAGGTAGTCTTTAGCGGAACATTTGATACATGTACCAATACGTAGATTATACACAGTTAAGACAACACATTTCTCCCTCTGCCCTTTCATGCTAGTATGATGGATATTTACATTTGTACGTCAGGAGCGACAGCGTCAAAAGCACCATTCAAGAACAGAGCGGATCTTATTGTGTTCTAAAAGCAGCTGTGGGATGAGATTCTTCTAATGCTGGAGTAATATAAGGGTTCCTTGCCACATATGCAGCAACCAGGCGCCATAACTTCACTATCAACCAAGTGTCAGTTGAAGGGGAGCCGATGGAACTCGAATAGGTGGTCATAATAAAACAGGCGACGAATTGGCGGTTACAGTGATTGTGAGGGGATGGGAGGAGCAGGTGAGGGGGAGTCCTCGCCTGCGTCTAAATTGCCCATTAGGTGCGCCGATCCTACGTATCATGCAAGCGCTCGTGGGTTGAATCGTGGAGCTTCAAACATCCAGGCATCTGCATCGAGACGCTGCCCCTCTGCCTGCATCTGCGCCACTGCTCCTTCCTTTACCATAGCCAGGGTCTCTGCTTTTCTCGCCGCAGTTGCCGTCGCTTCATCTGCAAGCCTAAGGAGTTCATCTTCTGGCGGCACTTGCGGCGTCGCTACACGACGGGATGGGCCTAGACCAAACATCGTTGGTATTCACGCAACAGGGGTCTTTCCCAGATTGTCCTCGAACCAAAGCAGCAGGGAAACAACAACGCGACAGCACAACTCTCTCATTCCTGGGACATGGCGGTGTTTCACAGCTCAACAGGTCGGTTGTAAAGAAATGGAATTCGAGAACGAGCGCTGCCAGTCAGTGAGTTCCACGATGCTCTTGTGGATGGTTGGCTTTGGCGTTGCCCCGCTGTAAATCAGCAGAGCACACACCCCTTCGCTGGCTTTCAGACGGGCCAGAGATTTGTTGGTTTGGCGGGAAACTGATCCAACATTGTTGCAGCTACTTGAATCAACAAACAGCAGCACACGAAATGTAGATGCGCGCGAAATTGATAATTTCCGCAATATCGAAGTGACTACGACAGTATCGAGGTCGTCGATGGGATGTTCCCACTTTGTGAGAGGGTCAGCCCGCCCGACAATATCGAGGTTCGTCTGGTTGGTTGGGTCAGTCCAGCACACGACTGTTGAAACAGCGATGACATCCGTTTCCCCAGCCAGAGCGCTCCTCAAACCAACCAGCCGGGCCAGTAACTTCCAGTTTTCCCTCGAAACGTACTAGAACACGCAATATCGTTTACAGACAATATAGAATGCATTAAACCGTATCGCATCGCAAGAATGGGGGCCTGGGACATCAGAGCTAGGAGAGCTTCATTAGGAGTTGCACAACACAAGCCCGTGCAGGCATCAGTTCGCCACAGAAGCGACAGTAGTTGAGTTGGTGCCTCTGTTCGGCAATCCCACACTTGTCGCAACAGGAGCCATTCTTAGAAACAGCCCAACCAGCAGTAGCAGTTTAAATTTCCTCGAGCCTCTGAAACCTAATCCGATTGTTCTGTGAAGTTTAGGGTCTAACTAACGTGGCTTGCATTGGGCACAGGCATCGAGCTCTTTGCTATGCTAATCACTGGTATTAGGGTTACGCGGATCAGCGGCTTTCGTTAAATTTATTAGGCGATCTTTAGTGTATAAAATACGTGTTATTCTGTATTCCAAGCTATACCTGTTACTTCACACCTGTTAGTTTACACGTACGAGGAGTTCGCAGGTGCACACCTTTCTTTTTAATCATATTCTCAGTGTCATGTCTTGATGACGTGTCATGTGCGGATAATGGTCCGCCTATCATGGGCGTCGGTGGTGCGGAGGACTCTAACGGCAGGGGAGGAGGAGCTGGTGGCGTAGCGATACTACAGATAGCCGACCCCGTTATAGCATCAGGACGTGCGGACCCCGTTATAGCGTCAGGCCGTTTACCGTCTCCTGACAGCACCCCGCTTAGTAGCACAGCTGACGATTCGCAAGGTTACGAGCTCCCTCCTAAGAAAACTTCCGCTTACCGCGATGCGTGGGCGGAGTTAAACGCTACTTTAGGCGCTGGGAAAAGCAGTAGCGAGCTTGGGAAAGAGAGCAGCCGTTTAAGCAGGAGAGAAATATCTATGGCGGAAGGAGAGAGGCGGCGCGTGTCTAGGTCGAGTCGCGGCCTTGGATTGGACGATTATGACGACGAGCGGGAGCGCGGGAGCGGAGGGAGGTCGATTAACGGCGTATTGCGGCGCGAGAAATCCCCCCGTCCCGAGCGCGGCCGCCACCCAGTCGACGACTACGGAGGAGCACGGCCGTCCACATCAGGAGGGAGGCGAATGCGTCGCGACAACTCAGGCGGAGATGACCTGTCGACTGCCGGTGGCCGGCCTCCTGATTGGTTGCGAGAATCCGGCGGCGCGGCTCGGCCAGCGACCAGCGGGGGGCGGAGAATGCGCTCGTCTGGTCTTGGGGGAATGGGGGGGGAGGATGGCGCCCCGCTTGTCTCTCCGCGGATGGGTGGGGACAGAGCCGTTGGCTCCCCGCGCGCGATCCCCAAGTCGCACTCCGCCGCGCGCGCAGCGGGGGGGGGATTCGGGGGTAGCGCGCGGGAGCGCTTGCAGTCCCCGCTGGCGGAAGACGCGGAGGAAATCATGTCGCCTTCTAGGGGGCGTTCTGTGAGTAAGTGGGTGGAGGAGTCTATTCAAGAAGGGGGTGCGGGTGGGGGGGCGGGGGGAGCAGGCGCAGGGGGAGGGGAGCGGGTTCCCGCAAACATGCGGTTTGCGCGACGGTGCAGATCGGTGCAAGTGTATAACGCAGGCGATGACCCGGATAGTAAGATCAACCGGTCTGCTTCTAGCGCGTCCGAGGCTAAAATTGCGCTCGGCGGGGCCGGAGGGGGGCCAGGTGGGGCGAGCAGCGGCGGCGGGCGGCCGATTTCGCCGGATCGTGAAAGCATGTCGTCAACGTCGTCGTCCGTGCGACGGTACCATCCGAAACACGGAGACGACGATATCGCGTACGAGGAAGGGGAGAGGCGGCCCCGGCGCAGGGCGTTGGGGGACGAAGACGATATGGGCAGGCGCGCGGGGAGCATGCGCGAGCGGGGTGACGGCGGGTTTGAACACACTCCCCGCACGCCCCCCCCGCGCATGCGCTCAAGATACGCGGACGAGGGCGGGCCAATGCGGTCTCCGCTTAGGCGGAGGCCGCCGGGGGAAAGAGATCCGCACCGCCCGCCGTCCCGCCAGAGCTCTCACGCCTCTGATGCGGGGGACCCCGGCTCCGCGCTCTTCCCGCGCCCGCCCTCGCGGAGCAGCGGAGCCGGGGGGGAAATGCCCGCGCCTAGCCCCTCGGGAAGGCTGCGAAGCGCAGCCGGTAGGCGGAGTGCGGCGGAACACGGGGAAGGGGGGGCGCGCCCGCGGACGCCGACGGGGATGGAGATGGCGGGGCGAATGGGGTTTGCGGGGGAGGGGCTAAGCCGTCCGAAAACGGCGGATGTGCATGGGCGGAGGGCGGGGGTCCCCCGTTCCGCTTCGACCACTGAGGGAACTCCGCTGGCGGGCATGCTTTCTAAGGAGCGGGGGGAGAAGGGGGTTCCGCGCTCCGCCTCTGAGTTGGTGGATGAGGAGGAGGAGGCGGGGGGGTATGGGGGGCACAGGGGCACTCGGTACAGTGGCGCATTGCGGTCGAGAACGGTGGCGGGTCCGGGGGCAGAGGGGGAATACGATGACGACGAGGAGGAGGAGGAGTTGCGGTTGATTGAGGAGAAGGAGCGCAGGCGCAGGCGCGCGGAGCGCGCGCGCAGGATGCGCGAGGACGTCCCGGAGGGGAGCCAAATGGACGGCGAGGATGCGTTTGACGAGGATTTTGACGATGAGGATGGCGGATACGGGCGGATGGGGACCGGGGGGCGGGGGGAGAGGGAGCCGCGGAGGGGGTATAGGCGGCGGGAGGAGGATATTATGAGAGAAGAGCACCGACGATTAGCGTTAGAGTTAGAAAGAGAGAGGGAGGAGAGGCGCAAGCTTGCAGAGGAGCTGAAACGGCTTGAGAGGGAAACGAAGGAGAGGGAGGAGAGGAGGCGGATGGAGAAGGAACGCAGGCGGGCGGAAAAGGAGAAGCTAGTGGCGGAAGTGGCCGCGCTGCAGCTGCCCGCAGGGGCGGACGCGGAGGACGGGGGGACGGGGGAGGGCAGGCGGACTCCGCGCATGGGCGGAGGGATGCTGTCTCCCTTCGGCGGAAGGCAGAAAACGCCTGAGCGGGAGCGGAGAGGGGGGAATCGGCCTATGACACCTGAGAGGAGACCTGTCACACCTGAGGGCATGCAGGCTAGACTGACCAGGAAAAACCGGGAGGTGATTCGGGCAGCCCGGAAAGAAGCAGCGGCGGGCGGGCAGGCGGGAAAGGCTGGGGATGGGGGACAGGCGGCGCTGCAGCAGGTGCTGGTGAATATTCTGAAGCGGCCTTTTGCGGATGTCAGGGAGGCTTATAAGGTGGATAAGAACGAGCTGGGGCGGGGCAGGTTCGGGGTGATCCGAGCCTGCGTGGATCGGGTGACGGGGGAGAGGCTTGCGTGCAAGACGATCAGCAAAGGCATGCTGCAGGTACGAGGGTGCAGGTTGTACGTGTAAGGGAGTACTGCAGGCATGGGATTGGGAGGTTGTCGAAATGCGGCTGGGGGTATGGTATGGAATTGGTGGGTTGGGATGGTGGGAAAGTGTTGGTGCAGGTGTGGGTGTCACAGAAGGGTGCTGCAGGTATGATATTGGTGGGTTGGAATAACACCGCTGCAGGTATGGGCTTGGGATAGTGGGAAAGTGTTGGTGCAGGTGGGATGTCCACACATGGATGCAGCAGGTATGGTATTGGAGCTGTGGAGAAATGGCACAGGTACGTGGCCAGTTGTAACAGTGACGTATGATGCGTGAGAAAGGGGGTATGCGGCTTTACTCTAAGCGGGAGACAGAGAGGTGTTTCTAATCCGCCTTACTTATCCATCCCCCTTTTCCATTTCTCTTACCTATCCCCCATATCCCTTCGTCTTGACGCCCACTGCAGTGCCAGCAAGACATAGAGGACGTGCGCAGGGAGGTGGCAGTGATGGAGATTACTTGACGTCCTGTCTATACCATGCCAGTGAACCATCGCTTATTGATGCTCTCTCTATTCTTGCTATTCCCACTGCAGTGCCAGCAAGACATAGAGGACGTGCGCAGGGAGGTGGCAGTGATGGAGATGCTACAGGGCCACCCAGACGTGGTCAACCTCCGGAGCACATTCGAAGATGCACAGGTGCGTGCGTGGGTGGGCAACCTGACAAAAAACTCAAGACATTGTTACACACATGCTGCAGGACCACCCAGACGTGGTCAACCTCCGGAGCACGTTTGAAGATGCACAGGTGCGTGGGGGCAAGGTGTCGTTGTGGGGATAATGCACACAAGGTGTCGTTGTGGGGATAATGCACACAACACAAGGATTACAAACTTCTGCTGCAGGGCCACCCAGACGTGGTCAACCTCCAGAGCACGTTTGAAGATGCACAGGTGCGTTGCATGCATGGGGTGGACAAGTTATTGGCTGTAATCCTTGTCAAAAGAACATACAGCACATTGAAAGCATGCAGATGCTGCAATTCCGAGTGTGCTTAATCTAAAAAAACACCCTTGATTTTGCACCTCTTCGTTGCCTCCTCTTCCTTTTCTGATGCCCTCCCCCCCCCCCCCCCCCCCCCCGCTTCCCCAACCCCTCCAACCCGGGTGCTGTGCACAGTGATGGGCGTGCTGCTGCACTGCCATGACTTAAAGCCACCTCAAGGCCCATATTTAACCTCAAACCTCTCTTTTTCCTCTCCCGTTCCTTCGTCCCACCCCTCCCTCCTCCCTCCTGCACCCCACCTCCCTCACCTTCCCCCCCCATTCCTCCGTCAGGTCGTGCATCTGGTGATTTGTAGGCAGGGAGCTGTTTGACCGCATCAAGGCCCAACCAAGGCGCCAGCCTGCATCCCACGCCCCACCAACCCTTCCCTCATTCCCTTCTTCTTTTTCCCACACACTCACACCCCCCTCAGGACGTGCATCTGGTGATGAAGCTGTGTGAGGGCGGGGAGCTGTTTGACCGCATCAAGGCCAAGGGCAAGTTCAGCGAGGCGGAGGGAGCAACCTCCCTCACTCCCCCTGTCTCCTTCCCCGTGGCCCCCCTCCCTTCCCCCACACACACCCCCCCTTCAGGACGTGCATCTGGTGATGGAGCTGTGCGAGGGCGGAGAGCTGTTTGACCGCATTAAAGCCAAGGGCAAGTTCAGCGAGGCGGAGGGAGCGCGGGTGCTGCGCACGGTGATGGGCGTGCTGCAGCACTGCCACGAGCTGGGCGTCATGCACCGCGACTTAAAGCCCGAGAACATTCTGCTCAACAGCAAGGAGTCGGATACGGAGCTGAAAGTGATCGACTTCGGCGTTGCGACATTCTTCCAACGAGGTAAGTCTGTGTGTGTGCGGGCGTTGGTGTGTGATTGAGCGTGAGTATGCGAGTGAGTGTGATCCTGTGAGTGCGGATGGACCAAAAGGTGATGGACCTTCTTCTCCCTCTCCATCTCCCTCCCTCCGTCCCTCCCTCGCCCCCCCACCCTCCCCAGAGGGGGGAACATTGAAGGAACTCCCTTCATCTTCCTTATCTCCCCTCGTCTCCCCTCATCTCCCGTCATATCCCCTCATCTCCCCTCATATCCCCTCATCTCCCCTCATATCCCCTCATCTCCCATCATCTCCTCATCCCTGCTCCTCCTCCCATGCTCCTCCAGGCAAGCCGTGCACGGACATGGCGGGCAGCCCCTACTACCTCGCACCAGAGGTCCTGGCAGAAAAATACGGTCCTGAAGCTGATATCTGGAGTGCGGGAGTGGTGCTGTACATCCTGCTGTGCGGCCTGCCGCCCTTCTGGGGCACCACCAACGAGGCCATCTTTGAGGCGATCAAAGAGGCCACGCTCAACCTCGTTCGCCCGCCGTGGCCCAATATCTCGGAGGACGCAAAGGACCTTGTTCGCCAGATGCTCAACCGGAACCCTAAAAAGCGCATCACGATTGAAGAGATTCTGGGTGAGTTTGGTCTTTGCTCAGGAAAGGAACGCTGCTTTTTGAGACTTTGTGGTGTTGCCTTGGTTGTGGATGTTTGTTTTTTTCCTGCCACTCCAGCAGCCCTGTCATGCTTTCATATTTGTCTTGTCGCTCTTTCTCTCCCTGCCCGATTTTCCAGAGCATCCTTGGATCGTGAAGAATGCAGGCCCACCATAACAGTTGCTTGTGCTAAGCTTTCAATAATGAAAACCGTGAATCCAGATTCGTTACTGGCTTAGCACTGATGAGGGGTGGTAGCTTTGGCTTGTGGTGGTTTCTGTCAGACGTGCAAAAAAGGGCCACTCACTAGTCACTCATTAGCCTTGGGCATATGGAATCCGTTTTTAGGCAACTGGTTTCTACTGGTGCAACACTTACTATAACTTAAAGGTGTTCCGCTGAAAGCGAATGTGCTTCCATGGCGTACAAATGTCAGCGGAAGAGGATTGGCTAGGGAGTGCAATACGCTGCTCTCCTTGTCGCACGTACTCCACCCCACAGAACAGCAGGCCGATTTGCTCCAGTGACTGCAAGCAAATTGTAGGTCTTCTACCGCATCCTCCAAATATCCCCACTGCTGCACCTTTTCCTCGTGAAATGGCAACCCACGCATTCGTTCCTTCGTTTTTTGAGCTGGCGTTTCAGGTCGACATGAAAGGTGAGGGAAGGTGAAGGTAGAGGAGAGAGCATTTCCACAGGTGTTGCCGTGCCGACACTCCATTTCACCAGGGAGCCAGCGAGCCAGCGTAACCTCACCATTTCACGCAGTTCAAGAACCGCGCTTCTGCACCAAGAATCGTAGTCAAGAAAGGTGTTATGAGTGCGCGGGTTTCATGAACTAATAACGTACTCTGAAATGTCTAACACGAGGGTGAATTAGGCAAGAACGAGCTAGGCGAGGACCTTGGGGAAAACGAGGCTCGGAAAGGTGGTGAATGGTGCGGTGGCGCCTCGGGAGTGGTTCAGGCCGAAATAGTAGGCCGAACCCCCAACTGACGTGAGAACCTCTGAAAATCTCCGATATTGAGAGCCTACAGAAATAATTTGTAGTTCCTTACAAAACGCATGAGAAGATTGTAACAAGAGGTTCCAAAATTATCTACATTTACCTTCATTTAATTTTGTAAGACAGCTACAGGAAAAATAAACAGACAGAATTATGTATGAAATCAGGCTTTCCTTCGCCTTGAAATATTTCAGGCGGGGCTCTTCCCTTGGTAATCTTCCCTGATTTTCACCAGTTCCCCCGCTGCTAGAGTGCGAGCGCGAATGGGGTCACAACTTTAGCGGATGGCGCAACCTTGTGCACGCTGACTGCTTGCGCGCCGAGGGGCTGAACTGCGACTCCGAAGGGATGGTGGGAGCTTTGTGAGTGCTGACGTGGCACCACAAGAGCTATGCTTGCTCATTCCTCCTCCAATACTCCGATTGCACGCCTCTAAGACTCTGTCTCCTTTGTTTCCAAACTCACATCATATCGTTCTCATTATGTTGCTGCCCTTCCGTTTTTCCTCTACTCCAGCTTGAAGTCATTGCACCAATCCCTCCCTCCCCCCCCCCCCCCCTCTATTAACCCACTTCCCATCCTCTCCCTCCCCTCTTCCCTCCTCCTCCCCCCTTCCCCTTTTATTGTTTTTTTTTTTCAGAATTGTCATTCTATTGGGCTAGAAGGATCTATTCCATCTGCTATTGGACAGCTCGTGCACTTGAGATACCTGTAAGCTCTGTTGAAAGCACCTGAAGTTTCCTGGGATGTTACATGAGGCATCCTTGGGCATCCCTGTTCCGGGCTTCTGACGAAGCTCATGATTTTGCAGCAGTCACCTCAATCTGCATCCAACGATTTTTAAAGTGCAATTAACCCCAACCTGACGCTTAAATATTTGAATGGAACTTCTATTCCTTCCTTACCTCAAGCCTATGCTCGGCTGACTCAACTTAGATCCTCTATCTCTGGTCAATCAGTAAGCCCTGGGCTGGTGCAATGTGGCCTCATCTTACTACTGGAATTCTATACTAGCATGGTTCCACGCCCCCCCTCTTACAGTGTCATTTTATTCCCCAAACTTATTCGTGATAAGCAGGAGCCTGGGTGACAACAAGCTCACTGGATCCATCCCGGCAGCCCTTTCAACACTTGTGAACTTGGAGTATCTGTTCGTGCCGCATGTTTCTCTGTATTGAGCATTTGCGGTCTTGGTTGAGCTGACACTTTGCGGTCTTGGTTGAGCTGACACTTTGCGGTCTTGGTTGAATTTCGAGTTGGCTTTTTGAGTCACCTCCGTCGAGGGTACCCGGGCAGCATTACTTTGGGGTAAACAAAAGAACACCAGCCAACTGGTGTTCATGAACAGCAGGGATGTTCAGGTGCCGGGTGTTCATGAACCTATACTCTCGGGCCCTCTACTCTCGGGCCCTCTACTCTCGGGCCCTCTACTCTCGGGCCCTCTACTCTCGGGCCCAATACTCTCGGGCCCTCTACTCTCGGGCCCTCTACTCTCGGGCCCAATACTCTTGGGCCCTCTACTCTCGGGCCCAATACTCTCGGGCCCTCTACTCTCGGGCCCTCTACTCTCGGGCCCAATACTCTTGGGCCCTCTACTCTCGGGCCCAATACTCTCGGGCCCTCTACTCTCGGGCCCTTTACTCTCGGGCCCAATACTCTTGGGCCCAATACTCTTGGGCCCTCTACTCTCGGGCCCTCTACTCTCGGGCCCAATACTCTCGGGCCCTCTACTCTCGGGCCCTCTACTCTTGGGCCCAATACTCTTGGGCCCAATACTCTTGGGCCCAATACTCTCGGGCCCAATACTCTTGGGCCCAATACTCTCGGGCCCAATACTCTCGGGCCCAATACTCTTGGGCCCAATACTCTCGGGCCCAATACTCTCGGGCCCAATACTCTTGGGCCCAATACTCTCGGGCCCAATACTCTCGGGCCCAATACTCTTGGGCGTTATCCGCTTGCACTCTATATTCTCAGGCTCTATCCTCTGGGCAGATTTATACCAAACAATCATTTGCCTTAACCGAAAGGCGTTCGGCCAACCGACAAAGCACCCTATCATCCCATCCCCTTCCCGTCTCTCTGTTCCCCCTGCCATCATCCCTCACTCTTCTCCTCAGTACCATTGAGTCTTCTCACTCAAAAAGAACAGTTCTCGTGCGCTGAACCCCCTCCATTCCGTACCTTTCCTCCCCAATCTCATCACCCGTCTCTCCTTCTGTCCCCATCAATACCACTCACCCAGGCATCTTACCCAGAACCAGCTCTCAGGCCCTCGACCCCCTCCATTCCGTACCTTTCCTCCCCAATCCCCTCACTCACCCCTCCCCTCTCATCCCCTCTCCTCTCCAATACCACTCACCAGGCATCTCACCAAGAACCAGCTCTCAGGTTCAATACCCACCGCCGTCAGCTGTCTCTCCTCCCTCACCTTCCTGTAAGCCATCCTCCATCCATGTGTGGCCTCACTCACCTCTCTGGCCTCACTCACCTCTCTGGCCTCACTCACCTCTCTGGCCTCACTCACCTCTCTGGCCTCACTCACCTCTCTGGCCACACTCACCTCTCTGGCCTCACTCACCTCTCTGGCCTCACTCACCTCTCTGGCCTCACTCACCTCTCTGGCCTCACTCACCTCTCTGGCCTCACTCACCTCTCTGGCCTCACTCACCTCTCTGGCCTCACTCACCTCTCTGGCCTCACTCACCTCTCTGGCCTCACTCACCTCTCTGGCCTCAGTCACCTCTCTGGCCTCACTCACCTCTCTGGCCTCACTCACCTCTCTGGCCTCACTCACCTCTCTGGCCTCACTCACCTCTCTGGCCACACTCACCTCTCTGGCCTCACTCACCTCTCTGGCCTCACTCACCTCTCTGGCCTCACTCACCTCTCTGGCCTCACTCACCTCTCTGGCCTCACTCACCTCTCTGGCCTCACTCACCTCTCTGGCCTCACTCACCTCTCTGGCCTCACTCACCTCTCTGGCCTCACTCACCTCTCTGGCCTCACTCACCTCTCTGGCCTCACTCACCTCTCTGGCCACACTCACCTCTCTGGCCTCACTCACCTCTCTGGCCTCACTCACCTCTCTGGCCTCACTCACCTCTCTGGCCTCACTCACCTCTCTGGCCTCACTCACCTCTCTGGCCACACTCACCTCTCTGGCCTCACTCACCTCTCTGGCCTCACTCACCTCTCTGGCCTCACTCACCTCTCTGGCCTCACTCACCTCTCTGGCCTCACTCACCTCTCTGGCCTCACTCACCTCTCTGGCCTCACTCACCTCTCTGGCCTCACTCACCTCTCTGGCCTCACTCACCTCTCTGGCCACACTCACCTCTCTGGCCACACTCACCTCTCTGGCCTCACTCTCCTCTCTGGCCTCACTCACCTCTCTGGCCTCACTCACCTCTCTGGCCTCACTCACCTCTCTGGCCTCACTCACCTCTCTGGCCTCACTCACCTCTCTGGCCTCACTCACCTCTCTGGCCCCACTCACCTCTCTGGCCTCACTCACCTCTCTGGCCTCACTCACCTCTCTGGCCTCACTCACCTCTCTGGCCTCACTCACCTCTCTGGCCTCACTCACCTCTCTGGCCTCACTCACCTCTCTGGCCTCACTCACCTCTCTGGCCTCACTCACCTCTCTGGCCTCACTCACCTCTCTGGCCTCACTCACCTCTCTGGCCTCACTCACCTCTCTGGCCTCACTCACCTCTCTGGCCTCACTCACCTCTCTGGCCTCACTCACCTCTCTGGCCTCACTCACCTCTCTGGCCTCACTCACCTCTCTGGCCTCACTCACCTCTCTGGCCTCACTCACCTCTCTGGCCTCACTCACCTCTCTGGCCTCACTCACCTCTCTGGCCTCACTCACCTCTCTGGCCACACTCACCTCTCTGGCCTCACTCACCTCTCTGGCCTCACTCACCTCTCTGGCCATACTCACCTCTCGGGCCTCAGTCACTCTCATCGCCTAGTTTGTGAGATATTCCCACTCCCACCTGAGCTTAGCTGCCCTGCTGGTTACCTTGCTGGGTAGCCTGATAGGCAACAACACTCCACTCAACGAGCAAACAAACAGGAGAAGGTGAGATATACGTTAGCGTGTCAAGTTTATGGTAACCCCGTCTTGGATCGCACAATAACCCCGTCTTGGATCGCACGATAACCCCGTCTTGGATCGCACAATAACCCCGTCTTGGATCGCACAATAACCCCGTCTTGGATCGCACAATAACCCCGTCTTGGATCGCACATCTCTCAATGTGCGGAATCGAGGCACGGCTTCACCTTTTGATTGGCTGCCGCGATTGTCTCCCCTTGGTTTCTTCCCTCCTTCGCGCCCCGGTCCCAAACTTCTTCGCACCACTTTCTACATTTCCCACCTACATCACCAATACTCCGAGGTGACTTTTGAGTCGATTCAAAAGTCACCTCGCACCACTTTCTACAATTCCCACCTACATCACCAATACTCTGAATACTGCAACCACGCCTGTTCAAGCTAATAACATGAACATATCTGACTAGTCTGCATACTCTGTGACAGAGTTTATTCACTTATATCTGTGCATCGCACATCACAGGGCACCCATGCGTTTCTCGTCCTTCCCACCTTGCCTCACTCCGTTCTGCTCCCAGCGGCTTGGGATACAACAGCTTATCTGGCTCCCTTCCAACGACGATAACCACACTCTCTAACCTCAAGATCCTGTGAGCATACCGTGGGGGCACTTAGTTAAGCGTCTCCAAGTTCATTAGCCGCCTTCGCCATTTTCTCTTACTTGTCTTGTAGACTAGGTGTGGTAACGATGGTGGATGGATACTGCTGATGAGAACAGGGACAACGGAAGATTGCAAAAGGTCCTATTCTGGTTAATGACGAGTCCTCGTGGTGTCACCCCTTGTGTCAACCCTTGTGTGACCCCTTGTGTCACACGTGGTGTCATCCCTTGTGTCGTCCATTGTGTCACCCATGTCAACCATGTGTCACCTATTGTGACGGCCAGTGATCTCCAGCGCAACAACTTACAGGGCGACTGGCCTTCTTTCATCTCCACCATGACTTCACTCACCGCCCTGTAGGCTCTCTTTCTATCCCTTTTTCTCATTTTCTCGCGCTTTCTCTTCTATCCTCTCACTTTGTCTCCCCTTTTCCGTTTATTTCCAATTCACTCCTCTTTTTTCTCCACCATTTATCTCCATTTTTTGCCATTTCTCTCCCTCCCTCCCTTTCTCTCTATCCCCACTCCCTTCTGAGACTTATTATAACTTGTAACCATGATTTTTTCTCCTTCTCCCCATTCATCCACATATAATCCCTCCCTCCCTCCCCCCATCCATCCCTCCCTCCCTCCCTCCCTCCCTCTATCCCTCCCTCCCTCCCTCCCTCTCTCCCTCCCTCCCTCCCTCCCTCCCTCCCTCCCTCCCTCCCTCCCTCCCTCCCTCCCTACCTCCCTTCCTCCCTTCCCCCTCCCTCTCTCTCTCACCTCTCCTTCCACTCACAAGGGATCTAAGCCACAACAACTTGTCAGGGTCCCTGCCAGCATCCATCACCACACTCACAAACCTCTATGTCCTGTGAGCAAGCACCCCGTGAATTCTAACTTGGAATCTCTAAGCCACAACAACTTGTCAGGGTCCCTGCCAGCATCCATCACCACACTCACAAACCTCTATGTCCTGTGAGCAAGCACCCCGTGAATTCTAACTTGGAATCTCTAAGCCACAACAACTTGTCAGGGTCCCTCCCAGCATCCATCACCACACTCACTAACCTCTATGTCCTGTGAGCAAGCACCCCGTGAATTCTAACTTGGAATCTCTAAGCCACAACAACTTGTCAGGGTCCCTGCCAGCATCCATCACCACACTCACTAACCTCTATGTCCTGTGAGCAAGCACCCCGTGAATTCTAACTTGGAATCTCTAAGCCACAACAACTTGTCAGGGTCCCTGCCAGCATCCATCACCACACTCACTAACCTCTATGTCCTGTGAGCAAGCACCCCGTGAATTCTAACTTGGAATCTCTAAGCCACAACAACTTGTCAGGGTCCCTGCCAGCATCCATCACCACACTCACAAACCTCTATGTCCTGTGAGCAAGCATCCCGTGAATTCTAACTTGGAATCTCTAAGCCACAACAACTTGTCAGGGTCCCTGCCAGCATCCATCACCACACTCACTAACCTCTATGTCCTGTGAGCAAGCACCCCGTGAATTCTAACTTGGAATCTCTAAGCCACAACAACTTGTCAGGGTCCCTGCCAGCATCCATCACCACACTCACTAACCTCTATGTCCTGTGAGCAAGCACCCCGTGAATTCTAACTTGGAATCTCTAAGCCACAACAACTTGTCAGGGTCCCTGCCAGCATCCATCACCACACTCACTAACCTCTATGTCCTGTGAGCAAGCACCCCGTGAATTCTAACTTGGAATCTCTAAGCCACAACAACTTGTCAGGGTCCCTGCCAGCATCCATCACCACACTCACTAACCTCTATGTCCTGTGAGAAAGCACCCCGTGAATTCTAACTTGGAATCTCTAAGCCACAACAACTTGTCAGGGTCCCTGCCAGCATCCATCACCACACTCACAAACCTCTATGTCCTGTGAGCAAGCATCCCGTGAATTCTAACTTGGAATCTCTAAGCCACAACAACTTGTCAGGGTCCCTGCCAGCATCCATCACCACACTCACTAACCTCTATGTCCTGTGAGCAAGCACCCCGTGAATTCTAACTTGGAATCTCTAAGCCACAACAACTTGTCAGGGTCCCTGCCAGCATCCATCACCACACTCACTAACCTCTATGTCCTGTGAGCAAGCACCCCGTGAATTCTAACTTGGAATCTCTAAGCCACAACAACTTGTCAGGGTCCCTGCCAGCATCCATCACCACACTCACAAACCTCTATGTCCTGTGAGCAAGCACCCCGTGAATTCTAACTTGGAATCTCTAAGCCACAACAACTTGTCAGGGTCCCTGCCAGCATCCATCACCACACTCACTAACCTCTATGTCCTGTGAGCAAGCACCCCGTGAATTCTAACTTGGAATCTCTAAGCCACAACAACTTGTCAGGGTCCCTGCCAGCATCCATCACCACACTCACAAACCTCTATGTCCTGTGAGCAAGCACCCCGTGAATTCTAACTTGGAATCTCTAAGCCACAACAACTTGTCAGGGTCCCTGCCAGCATCCATCACCACACTCACAAACCTCTATGTCCTGTGAGCAAGCACCCCGTGAATTCTAACTTGGAATCTCTAAGCCACAACAACTTGTCAGGGTCCCTGCCAGCATCCATCACCACACTCACTAACCTCTATGTCCTGTGAGCAAGCACCCCGTGAATTCTAACTTGGAATCTCTAAGCCACAACAACTTGTCAGGGTCCCTGCCAGCATCCATCACCACACTCACAAACCTCTATGTCCTGTGAGCAAGCATCCCGTGAATTCTAACTTGGAATCTCTAAGCCACAACAACTTGTCAGGGTCCCTGCCAGCATCCATCACCACACTCACTAACCTCTATGTCCTGTGAGCAAGCACCCCGTGAATTCTAACTTGGAATCTCTAAGCCACAACAACTTGTCAGGGTCCCTGCCAGCATCCATCACCACACTCACTAACCTCTATGTCCTGTGAGCAAGCACCCCGTGAATTCTAACTTGGAATCTCTAAGCCACAACAACTTGTCAGGGTCCCTGCCAGCATCCATCACCACACTCACAAACCTCTATGTCCTGTGAGCAAGCACCCCGTGAATTCTAACTTGGAATCTCTAAGCCACAACAACTTGTCAGGGTCCCTGCCAGCATCCATCACCACACTCACTAACCTCTATGCCCTGTGAGCAAGCACCCCGTGAATTCTAACTTGGAATCTCTAAGCCACAACAACTTGTCAGGGTCCCTGCCAGCATCCATCACCACACTCACAAACCTCTATGTCCTGTGAGCAAGCACCCCGTGAATTCTAACTTGGAATCTCTAAGCCACAACAACTTGTCAGGGTCCCTGCCAGCATCCATCACCACACTCACAAACCTCTATGTCCTGTGAGCAAGCACCCCGTGAATTCTAACTTGGAATCTCTAAGCCACAACAACTTGTCAGGGTCCCTGCCAGCATCCATCACCACACTCACTAACCTCTATGTCCTGTGAGCAAGCACCCCGTGAATTCTAACTTGGAATCTCTAAGCCACAACAACTTGTCAGGGTCCCTGCCAGCATCCATCACCACACTCACAAACCTCTATGTCCTGTGAGCAAGCACCCCGTGAATTCTAACTTGGAATCTCTAAGCCACAACAACTTGTCAGGGTCCCTGCCAGCATCCATCACCACACTCACAAACCTCTATGTCCTGTGAGCAAGCACCCCGTGAATTCTAACTTGGAATCTCTAAGCCACAACAACTTGTCAGGGTCCCTGCCAGCATCCATCACCACACTCACTAACCTCTATGTCCTGTGAGCAAGCACCCCGTGAATTCTAACTTGGAATCTCTAAGCCACAACAACTTGTCAGGGTCCCTGCCAGCATCCATCACCACACTCACTAACCTCTATGTCCTGTGAGCAAGCACCCCGTGAATTCTAACTTGGAATCTCTAAGCCACAACAACTTGTCAGGGTCCCTGCCAGCATCCATCACCACACTCACAAACCTCTATGTCCTGTGAGCAAGCACCCCGTGAATTCTAACTTGGAATCTCTAAGCCACAACAACTTGTCAGGGTCCCTGCCAGCATCCATCACCACACTCACAAACCTCTATGTCCTGTGAGCAAGCACCCCGTGAATTCTAACTTGGAATCTCTAAGCCACAACAACTTGTCAGGGTCCCTGCCAGCATCCATCACCACACTCACTAACCTCTATGTCCTGTGAGCAAGCACCCCGTGAATTCTAACTTGGAATCTCTAAGCCACAACAACTTGTCAGGGTCCCTGCCAGCATCCATCACCACACTCACAAACCTCTATGTCCTGTGAGCAAGCACCCCGTGAATTCTAACTTGGAATCTCTAAGCCACAACAACTTGTCAGGGTCCCTGCCAGCATCCATCACCACACTCACAAACCTCTATGTCCTGTGAGCAAGCACCCCGTGAATTCTAACTTGGAATCTCTAAGCCACAACAACTTGTCAGGGTCCCTGCCAGCATCCATCACCACACTCACTAACCTCTATGTCCTGTGAGCAAGCACCCCGTGAATTCTAACTTGGAATCTCTAAGCCACAACAACTTGTCAGGGTCCCTGCCAGCATCCATCACCACACTCACTAACCTCTATGTCCTGTGAGCAAGCACCCCGTGAATTCTAACTTGGAATCTCTAAGCCACAACAACTTGTCAGGGTCCCTGCCAGCATCCATCACCACACTCACTAACCTCTATGTCCTGTGAGCAAGCACCCCGTGAATTCTAACTTGGAATCTCTAAGCCACAACAACTTGTCAGGGTCCCTGCCAGCATCCATCACCACACTCACTAACCTCTATGTCCTGTGAGCAAGCACCCCGTGAATTCTAACTTGGAATCTCTAAGCCACAACAACTTGTCAGGGTCCCTGCCAGCATCCATCACCACACTCACAAACCTCTATGTCCTGTGAGCAAGCACCCCGTGAATTCTAACTTGGAATCTCTAAGCCACAACAACTTGTCAGGGTCCCTGCCAGCATCCATCACCACACTCACTAACCTCTATGTCCTGTGAGCAAGCACCCCGTGAATTCTAACTTGGAATCTCTAAGCCACAACAACTTGTCAGGGTCCCTGCCAGCATCCATCACCACACTCACAAACCTCTATGTCCTGTGAGCAAGCACCCCGTGAATTCTAACTTGGAATCTCTAAGCCACAACAACTTGTCAGGGTCCCTGCCAGCATCCATCACCACACTCACAAACCTCTATGTCCTGTGAGCAAGCACCCCGTGAATTCTAACTTGGAATCTCTAAGCCACAACAACTTGTCAGGGTCCCTGCCAGCATCCATCACCACACTCACTAACCTCTATGTCCTGTGAGCAAGCACCCCGTGAATTCTAACTTGGAATCTCTAAGCCACAACAACTTGTCAGGGTCCCTGCCAGCATCCATCACCACACTCACTAACCTCTATGTCCTGTGAGCAAGCACCCCGTGAATTCTAACTTGGAATCTCTAAGCCACAACAACTTGTCAGGGTCCCTGCCAGCATCCATCACCACACTCACAAACCTCTATGTCCTGTGAGCAAGCACCCCGTGAATTCTAACTTGGAATCTCTAAGCCACAACAACTTGTCAGGGTCCCTGCCAGCATCCATCACCACACTCACAAACCTCTATGTCCTGTGAGCAAGCACCCCGTGAATTCTAACTTGGAATCTCTAAGCCACAACAACTTGTCAGGGTCCCTGCCAGCATCCATCACCACACTCACTAACCTCTATGTCCTGTGAGCAAGCACCCCGTGAATTCTAACTTGGAATCTCTAAGCCACAACAACTTGTCAGGGTCCCTGCCAGCATCCATCACCACACTCACTAACCTCTATGTCCTGTGAGCAAGCACCCCGTGAATTCTAACTTGGAATCTCTAAGCCACAACAACTTGTCAGGGTCCCTGCCAGCATCCATCACCACACTCACAAACCTCTATGTCCTGTGAGCAAGCACCCCGTGAATTCTAACTTGGAATCTCTAAGCCACAACAACTTGTCAGGGTCCCTGCCAGCATCCATCACCACACTCACAAACCTCTATGTCCTGTGAGCAAGCACCCCGTGAATTCTAACTTGGAATCTCTAAGCCACAACAACTTGTCAGGGTCCCTGCCAGCATCCATCACCACACTCACTAACCTCTATGTCCTGTGAGCAAGCACCCCGTGAATTCTAACTTGGAATCTCTAAGCCACAACAACTTGTCAGGGTCCCTGCCAGCATCCATCACCACACTCACAAACCTCTATGTCCTGTGAGCAAGCACCCCGTGAATTCTAACTTGGAATCTCTAAGCCACAACAACTTGTCAGGGTCCCTGCCAGCATCCATCACCACACTCACAAACCTCTATGTCCTGTGAGCAAGCACCCCGTGAATTCTAACTTGGAATCTCTAAGCCACAACAACTTGTCAGGGTCCCTGCCAGCATCCATCACCACACTCACTAACCTCTATGTCCTGTGAGCAAGCACCCCGTGAATTCTAACTTGGAATCTCTAAGCCACAACAACTTGTCAGGGTCCCTGCCAGCATCCATCACCACACTCACTAACCTCTATGTCCTGTGAGCAAGCACCCCGTGAATTCTAACTTGGAATCTCTAAGCCACAACAACTTGTCAGGGTCCCTGCCAGCATCCATCACCACACTCACTAACCTCTATGTCCTGTGAGCAAGCACCCCGTGAATTCTAACTTGGAATCTCTAAGCCACAACAACTTGTCAGGGTCCCTGCCAGCATCCATCACCACACTCACTAACCTCTATGTCCTGTGAGCAAGCACCCCGTGAATTCTAACTTGGAATCTCTAAGCCACAACAACTTGTCAGGGTCCCTGCCAGCATCCATCACCACACTCACAAACCTCTATGTCCTGTGAGCAAGCACCCCGTGAATTCTAACTTGGAATCTCTAAGCCACAACAACTTGTCAGGGTCCCTGCCAGCATCCATCACCACACTCACTAACCTCTATGTCCTGTGAGCAAGCACCCCGTGAATTCTAACTTGGAATCTCTAAGCCACAACAACTTGTCAGGGTCCCTGCCAGCATCCATCACCACACTCACAAACCTCTATGTCCTGTGAGCAAGCACCCCGTGAATTCTAACTTGGAATCTCTAAGCCACAACAACTTGTCAGGGTCCCTGCCAGCATCCATCACCACACTCACAAACCTCTATGTCCTGTGAGCAAGCACCCCGTGAATTCTAACTTGGAATCTCTAAGCCACAACAACTTGTCAGGGTCCCTGCCAGCATCCATCACCACACTCACTAACCTCTATGTCCTGTGAGCAAGCACCCCGTGAATTCTAACTTGGAATCTCTAAGCCACAACAACTTGTCAGGGTCCCTGCCAGCATCCATCACCACACTCACTAACCTCTATGTCCTGTGAGCAAGCACCCCGTGAATTCTAACTTGGAATCTCTAAGCCACAACAACTTGTCAGGGTCCCTGCCAGCATCCATCACCACACTCACTAACCTCTATGTCCTGTGAGCAAGCACCCCGTGAATTCTAACTTGGAATCTCTAAGCCACAACAACTTGTCAGGGTCCCTGCCAGCATCCATCACCACACTCACTAACCTCTATGTCCTGTGAGCAAGCACCCCGTGAATTCTAACTTGGAATCTCTAAGCCACAACAACTTGTCAGGGTCCCTGCCAGCATCCATCACCACACTCACTAACCTCTATGTCCTGTGAGCAAGCACCCCGTGAATTCTAACTTGGAATCTCTAAGCCACAACAACTTGTCAGGGTCCCTGCCAGCATCCATCACCACACTCACTAACCTCTATGTCCTGTGAGCAAGCACCCCGTGAATTCTAACTTGGAATCTCTAAGCCACAACAACTTGTCAGGGTTCCTGCCAGCATCCATCACCACACTCACAAACCTCTATGTCTTGTAAGCACCCCATAAATCTCTAAATTATAATTTCAAATGCACAACGGAATCTCAGCGTCCCTACCAGCATCCATCACCGCACTCACAAACCTCTGTCCTGTGAGCACCCCATGAATTCGAACTTCAAATTTCAAAGGCACGCCTTGACTCTGAGGGTCCCTGCCAGGATCTCTCACTGCACTCACTAACCTCTATGTCTTGTAAGCATCCCATGAATTTCTTGATTATAATCTCAACGGCACAACGGAATCTCAGGGTCCCTGCTACCATCCCTCACCACACTCACTAACCCCTATGTCCTGTGAGCTCCAAATCCTTATGGGCCTCACTTTGAGAACTCTCCGAATTGACTCTTGTATTCTTTTCGCAAACCCTTAACCCCTTACTGCCACCCCCCCCCCCCCCACCCTCCACCCCCTTTTGGTAACTCGCTGCTTGCCTAACCACCGTCCACTCTCAATATCCCCCCCCATCCACCACCATATACTCAAAATTTTATTTCACTTGGTAACCACCCTCTCCCGTTATTCCCCTCCACACCATCCACCACCATCTCTTTCACTTGCTGCCAGCAACGTGAATAGCAACGGGCTGACGGGTTACCTCCCACCATCACTCGCTACTCTCACCAACCTGCAGTTTCTGTGAGGCATCTCCCCTCTCTCCTTGCTGTAGTGATACTTTTTCCCGGCGCCTCAGAAATCGTCTGACGTGAAAAGCAACAGGGTCACTCACGGGTCCGCTCCCACCATCGCTCACTACTCTCACCAACCTGCAGTTCCTGTGAGGCGGCCTCTGTGTTTGATGAATTGCGGTTACATTCCTACCTTGCGTCAGAGGTCCAAGTCACTTTGGGTCTTGCGAAACCTCACTGGTCACCAGTCACACCTCAAGCCACACTCAAGTCAATCTTTCCCTTTTCCTTTCCTCCACTTCAACCCCCTCACATTCTCGCAGCAACACCACCGACCAGAGCCTAAGCTGCCCGCCGCTACCACCAGCACTGCCACCACAGCCTGCAGCAGCAGCAGCGGTAGCAGCAGTCCCAGCAGAAGCAGTGCCAGCAGTGCCAGCAGTGCCAGCAGCAGTGCCAGAAGCACCGGCAGTACCAGCAGCAGCAGCGGGGGCAGTCTCCCCTACTGCACCTCTGCTCATACCATTACCATGCGGGCCGGTAATCAGCCGGATCGAGAACACTCAGAGTGTCTTCTGCCTGCAGTGCTCTGCCTTCTGCTCCGCCTGCAGCAGTACCTATGGTAAGGAGGGTATGCAGCATGGGCCCAGGCGAGTTCTGAGCTAACTCAAGGGTCGCGTGCAGCAGTATGCATGGTAAGGAGGGTATACAGCATGGGCACAGGCGAGTAAACTCAAGAGTATGTTGCGTGTGCTGTCTCAAGAGGCACATGCAGCAGTATGTATGGTAAGGAGGGTACATAGCATGGGCCCAGGCGAGTTGTATGCTAACTCAAGGGTCGTCGGCAGCAATACCCGCGGGTAAGAAGGGTATGCGGCATGGGCCCAGGCAAGTTGTAAGCTAACTCAAGGGTTGTCGGCAGCAAATCCTCTATGATAAGAAGGGTATGCAGCTGTCTGCCTGTCACACAGCGTACACTGTGAGACACTGGGACGAGCTTTGAATCGACTGAGAAGTCGCCCGCTGCTGTATCGCTGATGGTGATACAGTGCCGCGGTGGCACACAGCTGCTGCTGGTTTCTGTGTATTGCACCTTACAGCACAGCATCGCACAGTACAGCATAGCACAGCACAGCACAGCATCGCACAGCACAGCACAGCACAGCACAGCACAGCACCACACAGCACCGCACAGCACCGCACAGCACAGCACAGCACCGCACAACACAGCACAGCACAGCACATCACATCACGTCACGTCACGTCACATCACATCACATCACATCACATCACATCACATCACACCACACCACACCACACCACACCACACCACACCACACCACACCACACCACACCACACCACACCACACCACACCACACCACACCACACCACACCACACCACACCACACCACACCACACCACACCACACCACACCACACCACACCACACCACATCACATCACATCACATCACATCACATCACATCACATCACATCACATCACAGCACAGCACAGCACAGCACAGCACAGCACAGCACAGCACATCACATCACATCACATCACACCACACCACACCACACCACACCACACCACACCACACCACACCACACCACACCACACCACACCACACCACACCACACCACACCACACCATATCCCACCACACCACACCACACCACACCACACGACACCACACCACACGACACGACACCACACCACACCACACCACACCACACCACATCACATCACATCACATCACACCACACCACACCACACCACACCACACCACACCACACCACACCACACCACATCACATCACATCACATCACATCACATCACATCACATCACATCACATCACATCACATCACATCACATCACATCACATCACATCACATCACATCACATCACATCACATCACATCACATCACATCACATCACATCACATCACATCACATCACATCACATCACATCACATCACACCACACCACATCACATCACACCACATCACATCAGATTGAGTCCTATCACCTGAATGTCACCAGCAGGCTCAGCAGGGGCAGACCCTAAGCGCCTTATGATTGCCACTGCCTTGAGATTGGCTCTACCTTAAGCAGTCGTCGCAATAAGAGTGTCATTGAGCACATGAATGAATGAGCCCAATATACAATTTCGCCATGCCGTTTGTTGCAGTGTGTTTTGACGTTGCAGCGCTATTGTTTCAAACACATGGTGTTGCTTCTAGAAACATTGAATTCTCTCCTACATAACGTTGTTTCAAACTCCTATATCCCTCATCGTCCTTTTCTCCCCCTGCACTAATCTTAACTAATGAACGATTAAAATTATGCATCTTTCAATTCTATCGTGCCATGCTGCCCTACACTACTTCAGGATTTTACACACCTGGCCTTCCACCGGTTTCATCTCCTGGTGCTCCAGTTGCATCTGCTGGTGCACCAGTATCATCTGCCAGTTCACCAGCGTCAGCACCAGTACCAACTCCACCACCGTCAACACCAGCACCAACACTTGCAGCAGAACCATCATCACCAGCAGCACCACCATCACCAGCAGCAGCACCATCACCAGCAGCAGCACCATCACCAGCAGCACTGCCAACATATTCCTCTCCTGTCCCCTCCCCTTCATCCCCACTTGCTCTAACGCCAACACCAACTCTACAGCCACTTTCCCCTTCCCCCCTCCCTCCTCCACCTCCTCCTCCTCTCTCTCCTCCCTACCCAACGCCGCCTGTCAGTATCTCAACGGGTGTAATAGCAGGTGTGGCAGTGGCAGCACTATGCGCTGTCGCTGTTGTTGCTGCTCTTATCTTCTGCCTGTGCAAGCAGTACCAGAAGCAAGGCGGCTCTCTACGCGCCAAGTGTAAGAGCCCTGGGTCCGGGCCGGGAGATGTGTAACAACATTCGGTAAACACCCTGTGCTGTGCTGTCGCTGTTGTTGCTGCTCTTATCTTCTGCCTGTGCAAGCAGTACCAGAAGCAAGGCGGCTCTCTACGCGCCAAGTGTAAGTAAGAACCCGTGCAAGCTGTTCCAGAAGCAAGGTCCAGGCCAGGAGATGTGATGTGTAGCAATCTTTAGAGAGCACTCTGTGTTGTCGCTGTTGTTGCTGCTCTTATCTTCTGCCTGTGCAAGCTGTACCAGAAGCAAGGCGGCTCTCTACGCGCCAAGTGTAAGTAAGAGCACGTGCAAGCTGTACCAGAAGCAAGGTCCAGGCCGGGAGGTGTGATGTGTAGCAATCTTTAGAGAGCACTCTGTGTTGTCGCTTTTGTTGCTGCTCTTATCTTCTGCCTGTGCAAGCTGTACCAGAAGCAAGGCGGCTCTCTACGCGCCAAGTGTAAGTAAGAGCACGTGCAAGCTGTACCAGAAGCAAGGTCCAGGCCGGGAGGTGTGATGTGTAGCAATCTTTAGAGAGCACTCTGTGTTGTCGCTTTTGTTGCTGCTCTTATCTTCTGCCTGTGCAAGCTGTACCAGAAGCAAGGCGGCTCTCTACGCGCCAAGTGTAAGTAAGAGCACGTGCAAGCTGTACCAGAAGCAAGGTCCGGGCCGGGAGATGTGATGTGTAACACTCTTTAGAGAGCACTTTGTGCTGTCACTGCTGTTGCTGCTCTTATTTTCTGCCTGTGCAAAGCTGCACTGGAGGCAAGGTCGATCCCTACACTCCAAGTGTAAGAGCCCTGGGTTTGGGAGATGTGTGATAATTCTTAGTAAGCACTTTGTGCTGTTGCAGCTGTTGGTGCCCTTGTGATAATTATTTTCCCCGGTTTCCCACCCTCCCTTCAGCATCGTCCAACCACAGCGTGCCACCTGGCATCTGCCAGCAGTACCCCCTCTCCACCGTCCTTCAGGCCACCGACAACTGGGCGCCTTGCAATCTGATTGGCTCTGGCGGATTTGCTGACGTGTACAGGGGGGTCTCCCCCTTCGATCCTCACGAGCTGTGGGCTGTGAAGCGAGGGAAAGTGTTCTCAGATGACTTTCAGAGGGAGGTGGGTGAGCCGTGCCACTCAGTGAGTGAGGGGTGAGTGAGACGTGCCACTTTTGAGGCGCCTAAAAAAATCTCATGAGCGGTGGCGTGGGCTGTGAAGCGAGGAAAAGTGTTCTCAGATGACTTTCAGCGGGAGGTGAGACGTGCAATTCAGTGGGTGTTGAACTAGAACGGACCATGAGTCGGTTAGGACAGTGCAGACAGTGCAAGTAGTGCAGACAGTGCAAGTAGTGCAGACAGTGCAAGTAGTGCAGACAGTGCAAGTAGTGCAGACAGTGCAAGTAGTGCAGACAGTGCAAGTAGTGCAGACAGTGCAAGTAGTGCAGACAGTGCAAGTAGTGCAGACAGTGCAAGTAGTGCAGACAGTGCAAGTAGTGCAGACAGTGCAAGTAGTGCAGACAGTGCAAGTAGTGCAGACAGTGCAAGTAGTGCAGACAGTGCAAGTAGTGCAGACAGTGCAAGTAGTGCAGACAGTGCAAGTAGTGCAGACAGTGCAAGTAGTGCAGACAGTGCAAGTAGTGCAGACAGTGCAAGTAGTGCAGACAGTGCAAGTAGTGCAGACAGTGCAAGTAGTGCAGGCAGTGCAAGTAGTGCAGGCAGTGCAAGTAGTGCAGACAGTGCAAGTAGTGCAGACAGTGCAAGTAGTGCAGACAGTGCAAGTAGTGCAGACAGTGCAAGTAGTGCAGACAGTGCAAGTAGTGCAGACAGTGCAAGTAGTGCAGGCAGTGCAAGTAGTGCAGGCAGTGCAAGTAGTGCAGACAGTGCAAGTAGTGCAGACAGTGCAAGTAGTGCAGACAGTGCAAGTAGTGCAGACAGTGCAAGTAGTGCAGACAGTGCAAGTAGTGCAGACAGTGCAAGTAGTGCAGACAGTGCAAGTAGTGCAGACAGTGCAAGTAGTGCAGACAGTGCAAGTAGTGCAGACAATGCAAGTAGTGCAGACAGTGCAAGTAGTGCAGACAGTGCAAGTAGTGCAGACAGTGCAAGTAGTGCAGACAGTGCAAGTAGTGCAGACAGTGCAAGTAGTGCAGACAGTGCAAGTAGTGCAGACAGTGCAAGTAGTGCAGACAGTGCAAGTAGTGCAGACAGTGCAAGTAGTGCAGACAGTGCAAGTAGTGCAGACAGTGCAAGTAGTGCAGACAGTGCAAGTAGTGCAGACAGTGCAAGTAGTGCAGACAGTGCAAGTAGTGCAGACAGTGCAAGTAGTGCAGACAGTGCAAGTAGTGCAGGCAGTGCAAGTAGTGCAGACAGTGCAAGTAGTGCAGACAGTGCAAGTAGTGCAGACAGTGCAAGTAGTGCAGACAGTGCAAGTAGTGCAGACAGTGCAAGTAGTGCAGACAGTGCAAGTAGTGCAGGCAGTGCAAGTAGTGCAGACAGTGCAAGTAGTGCAGACAGTGCAAGTAGTGCAGACAGTGCAAGTAGTGCAGACAGTGCAAGTAGTGCAGACAGTGCAAGTAGTGCAGGCAGTGCAAGTAGTGCAGGCAGTGCAAGTAGTGCAGACAGTGCAAGTAGTGCAGACAGTGCAAGTAGTGCAGACGTGCAAGTAGTGCAGACAGTGCAAGTAGTGCAGACAGTGCAAGTAGTGCAGACAGTGCAAGTAGTGCAGGCAGTGCAAGTAGTGCAGACAGTGCAAGTAGTGCAGACAGTGCAAGTAGTGCAGACAGTGCAAGTAGTGCAGACAGTGCAAGTAGTGCAGACAGTGCAAGTAGTGCAGGCAGTGCAAGTAGTGCAGACAGTGGCAGGGGGAAGGAGGGTACATCCCAACTTCTCCCCTCTCCTCCCAGTGCCTTACCCTTTTCTCACCCCTCTCTCCCCTCTCCCCCCACCAGGTGAATGGCATGTGCAGCAAGCACCACCCGCACCTCGTGAAGCTCCTGGGATACTGCGTGGAGGAAAGGCAGGAGCATGCTCAAAGCAACCCACTGCTGATCGCCCTCTCGTATTTCTCAAGCAGCAGCAGCAGGAGCAACGGAAGCATGAGGGGAACGAGGGGAGGGAGCGGCAGCGGTGGGGGGAAGGGGTCTACTGGTGGTTTTGTGGTAGAGCAAGTGTTGATCTATGAGCTCATGGAGGGGGGAGACCTTGAGAGCAGGATGCAGGCAGGTGGGTGGGTGGAGGGTACAGGGTGTAGCCACTCATACTGGTGGTTTTACGGTGGAGCAAGTGTTGGTCTATGAGCTCATTGAGGGGGGAGACCTTGAGAGCAGGATGCAGGCAGGTGAGGGGGTGGAGGGTACAGGGTGTAGCCACTCATACTGGTGGTTTTACGGTGGAGCAAGTGCTGGTCTATGAGCTCATTGAGGGGGGAGACCTTGAGAGCAGGATGCAGGCAGGTGGGTAGGAATTGCCAGGTGCTGGGTGCAATATTCAGGGTGCAAGGTGAAGAGTGCAGCCACCCATTCTGAATTGGTGCGGTGGAGCAAGTGTTTTTCTATGAGCTCATGGAGGGGGGAGACCTTGAGAGCAGGATGCAGGCACGTGGGTGGGAATTGCTGGGCGCTGGGTGCAGTGTTCAGGGTGTAGGGTGAAGTGTGCAGCCTCTCATACTGAAAGGGTGCGGTGGAGCAAGTGTTGATCATGAGCTCATGGCGGGGGGAGATCTTGAGAGCAGGATGCAGGCAGGTGGGTGGGCTTATCTGTTTGCCAGGTGCAGGGTGCATGGTGGATGGTGCATGGTGCATGGTTCAGGGTGCAGGCTGCATGGTGCATGGTGCATGGTGCAGGGTGCAGAGAGCAGGGCGCATGGTTCAGCCACTCATACTGGAAGGGTGCGGTGGAGCAAGTGTTGGTTATGAGCTCATGCAAGGGGGGGATCTTGACAGCAGGATGCAGGCATGTGAGCGTTTCCAAGAAGCTTATCCAGGCCGACGGATTTCTGGGGCTGTAAAGGAACAACTGATTGCGCCTCGAATCTTTGTTTTGAGACGACTCAAAGTAGGCGGATTTCTGGGGCTGTGAAGGGACAACTGATGGCGACTCAAAACTCCTCTTCAAGGAGGTTTGAGCTTTTGATTCGACTCAGAAGTCATCTTGAGCAAATTAATCAAACCTGCTCAAAATTCTGCTCCCCAGCAGGTTTGATTAACTTTGAGTTATCCTGCTGGGGACCAGAGTTATCAGAATACCGATAATTGATTCTCTTTTTGAACCAGAGAGTATTAGCAAACCGTCGATCTAGTTTGGCACCATCAATCTACGGCCAAATTTTGATTAAGACCAGACCAGGGTACCTTCAAATCATTGGCATCCAACACACAGCACACCATTCCCCCAGCTCCTCACGATCCTCTTTTTGAGTCGACTCAGAAAGTGACTTTAGAGGCGCCTCAAAAGTCCCACAGCTCCTCACGATCCTTGTTCTGAGTCGACTCAGAAAGTGGCATCAAGCAGCACACCGTTCTCCCTCCGCCCCTCACGATTCTCAGGCGTGACCCCACCCCCAGCCTCCTCGCCCCTCTCCCTGCAGCAGTGCCTGGGCTGTCTGTTTGGGTCAGTACGCGGATTGGAGTATCTTCACGGCTTTGGGCTTTCACCTGCAGTTATTCTCGGCCCATCCCTCAATTATCCCCCCCTCCTCCACCCCCAGGCTCTGCGCCCCTCTCCCTGCAGCAACGGTTGGACGTTCTGATCGGGGTGGCACGCGGATTGGAGTATCTTCACAGCTTTGGCATTGTGCATCGGGACATCAAGCCAGCCAACATTCTGCTGGATGGGAACATGCAGGTGTGGAGGCTTGGGCGGCTGTGTGTAAGCGGGTGTGCATGTGTGGGTGGCTGTGTATGTATGTGGGTGGCTGTGTATGTATGTGGGTGGCTGTGTATGTATGTGGGTGGCTGTGTATGTATGTGGGTGGCTGTGTATGTAAATTATCCCTCCTAAACTCAATCGAAAACCATCCCTTCCCCTACTCTTCCTTCCCACCCTCTGTTGTCCACTCTACCTGCTCATCGTTCCTTCCTTCTCTCTCCTTCCTTCTCTCTGAATCCTTACTACTCCTCAGGCCAAAATCGCAGATTTCGGACTGCTACGCTCCAACCCCATGCCACCCCAGCAGCGCCATCTCATTGACACGGCAAGCAGCCCAGACACTGCTGTTACCATCATCAGCAGCAGCGGCAGCAGCAGCAGCAGCAGCACAGCGAGTGGAGTATCGGAGTCGACTCGGGTGGTGGGCACACCAGGCTTTGTGGATCCGGCCTACTTTGAGTCGCACAGGGCCACCCCTATGGCTGACGTGCACAGGTGATTTTTTAGGCGCCTTTTTTTTAGGCAATTTTTTAGGCGCTCTTTTGAGGCGGTTTTTGAGGCGCCTCTTTCTAAGGTGGTTTTTTAGGCGCCTCTTTTTGAGGTGATTTTTGAGGCACCTTAAAATCACCTCAATGCACCAGGCTTTGTGGATCCGGCCTACTTTGAGTCACACAGGGCCATCCCTACGGCTGACGTGCACAGGTGCGGGGGTCGCGAGATCTCACAACAACAACAGTGCTAGCGCTTGTATGGTACTGCTGATAGCAGCAGCAACGGTACAATGAGTGGTACAAGGGCACCCCTACGGCTGACGTGCACAGGTGGGGTTGTTGTGAGATCTCACAACAGCAGTACTAAGGTTTGTATGGTAGTTCTGGTGGCAGCAGCACCGGTAGTATGAGTGGTACAAGGCCACCCCTATGGCTGACGAGCACAGGTGAGGGGATGTCATGCTGTGTTGCTTCAGTTAGACTTGCTCAAACTGGAATCTCCTATTGTGAGAATCACTCGCTGGCATGTCTGCTTCAAGGGCCAAGGCAATCTTGTGTGCTCCCTTTTCCCTGCAGCTTCGGAGTGGTGATGCTGGTGCTGCTAACAGGGCGCAAGGCAGTCATACCGGTAGAGAGAGACGATGGCTTCGGGCCCGTGGAGCATGTGAACGTCAAACACTGGGTGAGCCTTTGAACGTCAAACACTGGGTGAGCCTTTGAGCGTCAAACACTGGGTGAGCCTTTGAACGTCAAACACTGGGTGAGCCTTTGAACGTCAAACACTGGGTGAGCCTTTGAACGTCAAACACTGGGTGAGCCTTTGAACGTCAAACACTGGGTGAGCCTTTGAACGTCAAACACTGGGTGTGCCTTTGAACGTCAAACACTGGGTGAGCCTTTGAACGTCAAACACTGGGTGTGCCTTTGAACGTCAAACACTGGGTGTGCCTTTGAACGTCAAACACTGGGTGAGCCTTTGAACGTCAAACACTGGGTGAGCCTTTGAACGTCAAACACTGGGTGAGCCTTTGAACGTCAAACACTGGGTGAGCCTTTGAACGTCAAACACTGGGTGAGCCTTTGAACGTCAAACACTGGGTGAGCCTTTGAACGTCAAACACTGGGTGAGCCTTTGAACGTCAAACACTGGGTGAGCCTTTGAACGTCAAACACTGGGTGAGCCTTTGAACGTCAAACACTGGGTGAGCCTTTGAATGTCAAACACTGGGTGAGCCTTTGAATGTCAAACACTGGGTGAGCCTTTGAACGTCAAACACTTGGTGAGCCTTTGAACGTCAAACACTGGGTGAGCCTTTGAACGTCAAACACTGGGTGAGCCTTTGAACGTCAAACACTGGGTGAGCCTTTGAACGTCAAACACTGGGTGAGCCTTTGAACGTCAAACACTGGGTGAGCCTTTGAACGTCAAACACTGGGTGAGCCTTTGAACGTCAAACACTGGGTGAGCCTTTGAACGTCAAACACTGGGTGAGCCTTTGAATGTCAAACACTGGGTGAGCCTTTGAATGTCAAACACTGGGTGAGCCTTTGAACGTCAAACACTTGGTGAGCCTTTGAACGTCAAACACTGGGTGAGCCTTTGAACGTCAAACACTGGGTGAGCCTTTGAACGTCAAACACTGGGTGAGCCTTTGAACGTCAAACACTGGGTGAGCCTTTGAACGTCAAACACTGGGTGAGCCTTTGAACGTCAAACACTGGGTGAGCCTTTGAACGTCAAACACTGGGTGAGCCTTTGAACGTCAAACACTGGGTGAGCCTTTGAATGTCAAACACTGGGTGAGCCTTTGAATGTCAAACACTGGGTGAGCCTTTGAACGTCAAACACTTGGTGAGCCTTTGAACGTCAAACACTGGGTGAGCCTTTGAACGTCAAACACTGGGTGAGCCTTTGAACGTCAAACACTGGGTGAGCCTTTGAACGTCAAACACTGGGTGAGCCTTTGAATGTCAAACACTGGGTGAGCCTTTGAACCTCAAACACTGGGTGAGCCTTTGAACGTCAAACACTGGGTGAGCCTTTGAATGTCAAACACTGGGTGAGCCTTTGAATGTCAATTGGGCGAACGGGCGAACGGGCGAATGGGCGAAGGAAGACAAATACACAGGAAGGCAAATGGGAGGAGAGGGGCAATGCAGGGATGGTGGGGGGGAACACACACGCACGCACGCACACACGCGCACACACACACGCGCGCGCGCAAACGCAGACGCACACACACCCACAACCACACCCACACCCACACCCACACCCACACCCACACCCACACCCACACCCACACATAGATGTGCGCAGGCACGCATGGAATAGTGTTACCACAAACAGATTACACGACTTCTTAAGTGGGTGACAGAGGAAGCGATGGGAACACAAGCACATATGCATGCACAACCCCTCCCCTTTCCCCCCCACCAATCCCCATCCCCCCTTTCCCCTTCTCCCCTCCCCTCTCCCCTGCAGTTTCTTAAATGGAAGCTGACAGAGGAAGCGATGAAAACACAAACACATATGCACCCACAACCCCCCATCCCCAGCCTTCTCTCCCGCCCCTTCCCCCCCCCCACACACAAGGTGCATACAATTGCAAGCATGCACGCATGGAATAGCGTTACCACATACAAGTGCATGCATGCAAGCATGGAATAGCGTTACCACATACAAGTGCATGCATGCACGCATAGCGTTACCACATACAAATGCCGTAGCTTCTTGAGTCGACTGAAGGAGGGTGGGATGGAGCCGCCACTGGCAGCTGAGACCATGTTACTGGGTGGGGTGTGATGGAGGGAGGGAAAGGTGTAAAGGGGAGATGGAAGGTGTGATGGAGGGAGGGGTGACAGCTTTTGAGTCGACTCAAAAGTCGCCATTGGCAGCTGAGACCATGCTACTGGGTGGGGTGTGATGGAGGGAGGGAAGGTGTGACGGAGGGAGGGAAGGCGCGATGGGGGGAAGGGCAAGGGATGGTGCCGCCATTGGCAGCTGAGACCATGTTACTGGGTGGGTTGTGATGGAGGGAGGGAAGGTGTGATGCATTGGAGTGAGAAAGGGAAGGTGGGGGAGAGGCAATTGTGTGTGAGTGTGTTTCTATGAGACTGGTGGAACTATGGTTGCACATGCGATGTTACTGGGGTGCGATGGAGGGGGAGAGAGGAGGGATGGAAGGGAAGTCATATCTAAGTGAGGGAAGTGAAAGGAGTGAGGGAAATTCAAGTGAGGGAAGTGGGGGGAGAGAAGAAGGGCAGAAAGTTGACTGACAGGCGGGTGAGGAAAGTGATGGAGCCGAGCAAGTAAAAAAGGCGGGAGCAAGTGATGGGGCAAGGGAGGGAGGGAGTGTGACTGACAGGCGGGTGAGGGAAGTGATGGAGCCAAGGACGGAAGGCAGGCTGCGCATGGCGCAGTTCCCCTCTATGCTCCTGATGGGGGTGCGGTGGGGGGTAGGGGGAATGGCGAAAGATTGGCGCCAATCCTTTTCATGCTCCTAATCGGGTCGCGGGGGGTGGGGGGTGGTTTGGTCAAGGACAGGACACGGGCGCGGGCAGGGCAGGAGAGCATTCAATGGATGAAGGATGGAGCCGAGCATCCAATGGATGAAGGTCGGCTGAATGACACGGGGATAGACGGCAGGCTGGGCATGGGACCGTTCCCCTCCATGCTCCTGATAGGCGTGGTGAAGGGGAAGGTCTTAGGACTTAGGCTTAGAAGCGATGAATTAGTAATGAGCTTGAAGCTCTTTAAATACATCCAAGAAGGGGAGGGAATGGATGGGGAAGGGAATCGGGGGCAATCCTAGGGATTAGGGGTAATCCCAACGCAATCTCCAATTGGTGGGTTGGAGATTGCTTGGAGATTACATTTGGGTTTGGTTGGGATGTAGGTGTACACCCAACCAAACACAATGTGCAAACTACACTACTCTAGGATATAGAAAATACAAAGTACAAAGTGTGAGATTGAAGGCTAACACTAACACCCCCCCATAGGCGTCAATCGAACTCATGGTAGAGAGGGTGGTGCACAGAGCCCCATGGCGCCTAGGAGACGGTGGTGGGGAACTTTCCCAAAGGGCTTGGTGAACAGATCAGCCAGGTTGCAGTCAGATGCAACGTATTCCACTTTCAGCTGCTCCTGTTGGACAAGGTCACGGATGAAGAAGTGCCGAAGTTCAATATGCTTGGTGCGGGTGTGATACACAGGGTCTTGAGAGATGTGGATGGTACTCTGGTTGTCACACCAGAGGGTGGGGGCGGACTGTGGGAAACCAAGCTCCTGGAGTAGGAAGGTGAGCCAACGGACCTCCTGAGCAGCCATGGTGCCTGCGTAGAGCTCTGCCTCACAGGAGGAGAGGGAGACTGCAGACGACCTGGTGGAGCGCCAACTGACAATTCCGCTCCCAAGGGTGAAGCAGTACCCCTGAGAGGAGCGTCGGTCGGTCTGGTCATCAGCCCAGGAGGAGTCGGTGTAACCTTCCAGGCGAGGAGGGGAGAGCCCACCGAGTGTGAGAACGTGAGACTTGGTGCCCTGAAGATAGCGCAGCACCCGCTTCGCCGCCTTCCAGTGAAGATCAGTGAAGCGTCCAGGGGCCACGTAGCGAGAGAGGACACTGACAGGATAGGTAGGCATGATCATCCTGCCCCGTCGGGTCGGGTCGACCCGAACCGACCCGGGTTTTGACCCGGGTCGGGTCAGGCATTTTGAAGCGCTGGCCCGGCCGGGTCGGGTCGGGTTTACCCGGTCGGGTCGGGTCGACCCGACACCCGAAACCGGGTCGGGTCGGGTCGGGTCGGGTCGGGTCAGATTTAGACCCGAAGTCGTACCCGACCCGGTTTCGGGTACCGCGCCCTAAGTCGGGTCGAGTATTTGGCCCGACCCGACTTTTCCTCCCTCGACAATTTGCACTAAAGCAGATCGCGAAGTCAATGTCTAGGGTTTGTTTGTTCCCTCGACATTGACTTCGATCTGCAATACCTAGGCAGCTAGCAAGCAATC